TGGCTTATTTTGCTAGGAAAGGTTTGTTTTAATACGAGGAAGGACTTGAAAAGTTACTAAAAGATAAGGAAGCTCATTGTAATAAATACAACGCAATCTGATAGGTTTTGCTTTATTATCAGGAATTCTTCGAATTATTTTAACTTTATAATATTCAGTCATAAAGTCATTGAAAAAAGTTGACGGGTGATTGTATTAGTGTAAACCGKTGAGTAATATTTTGAAATTTAGCCTATAAGTTATCATTTACCTCAAAAACAGTGATATTTGGATAAGATTGAATAAGCAATGTGAAATCCAGTCAAACAGATTTTTGCTCACTTAGTGAGCAGCAAAAAGGACAAAATTAATGTACTCATAACTCACCCGATAAAATCAAATATATGTTGAAGTCAGAATGTTTTTAAATGACTGTAAATTTTATACTTTATTCCAAAAATACCAAATACGGCACTTATAGGATATATGATTATAATTAATACATGCATAGAATTCCTTTGCCACTGCATGTAGACCTGGAATTAAAGTCGAGGAAAATGTTATTAATCGCATCAGGTTATAATCATATTTATCATTAAGCATGGTACTTAATGTTATGGCAGTTCAAGACTTTTCTTCATTTGCGGTGCCGATGACACTTTGAGAGGGGGTGCACTCCAAAAAAAAAAAAAAATGATAACAAAGGAGACACAAAATAAGGGAAAGTATTGTAAGATGCAAGGTCTTGGTAGGGGTGTGCAYCCCCTGCATCCACAAGCTGGAACTGTAATGTGCTAATCATATAGGGGAACATACATTTTACTATAAACAAGAATACGGATGTATTGATTTATGTAGGACTGAGAGATACCAGCGGAATGTGACAATATAGATCATAAACTGTAAGGAATTCAGCGTCGAGCATGAGAATTCCATCCCAGTGTTAATCATTGCCTAACCCTTTCTCTTATCTAAATTCATCCGTTAAGCCATGGGATCAGTTACCACGTCAGTGAAACTGAATATTTGTGATATTTATGCAACAGCATTCATAT